AGGCAAAAGATGAAAAAAGAATTTCTACACTGGACACTTACGCTATAAATAGGATTGTGCAACAGGCAACAGTGTTCAGTTTGTTTTAATATTGTGTGTGCGTGCCAGCGATTGTCGTTTTTTGAAAAAGTGTATTTTGGTGAAAAAATTTGGAATATTTCAAAAGTAAGATTTTTTTTAATTCTAAAATAAGTTGCAATACTGCTTATAACAATATCTTTATTAAGAAGATTATAAATTTGTTGAAGAACATGTCTGATTTTCCAGATAATTGCTCATATATGAGGTTTAAGCGAAATTATCTTGTTTATTCTCCTCTAAAATTAGCTTTGCAAAGAACCAAAGAAATGAAAAAGTTATATATCTTCCCTCGACGAAACGATATCTTATTACAATAGTAATAAGTCTTGCAATTTTAACCTTTTTCTTAATACTTTAATCAATTACCCACCACTCACACTACCTTTGAACCCAAATACATATGAGGAGGCTTTTTTTTTTTGCTATTTGTCAAACGCAAAATCATGTGTGTTTTAAGTCGTATTGAAATATTTTCACAGCTGTGAATAGTTGACAGCTTTCAATGGGTTTTTTCTGCTATTTTATTATTTACCTTAGACATTTTATTTCAAATTTACTAAGAATGTGGAACTAATGATGAGTAACTGGTTGACACTTGATCCCTCTGTTTTAATAGTTTATATTTGTTAAAAAGTAGTTTTTGTTTAAGCATATTTTTAGAAATTTAGAACAAATAGATTTTATATTCTTACTAAAGCAAACTTTTTATTATATTATGCTTTAAGCACATCATAGCAAAAGATCTTCAAACATAATTTTAGACTAGATTAGTTGCTACTGTTTTTGGTAGTTTTACTTAATTGGATTTTAAGCGATTATCAACTCGTGCTTAATTAAAAATGAAGAGTTCGACTATGTTTAACAAAAAGTCGAACAGATTCTTAGCTTGATTGATATCTAACAGGCCGATCCTATAAATTAATCCCTTTAGCATACAACCAATTTTAGTTCAATCTTTATGTCATTGATTAATCTGTCAGAAAAAAGTTATTTCTGTTTCGAGTAATACTGTAAATATTCTGATTTAAAAAAATTGAGTAAAATTGAACAAACTGATCGTATAGGTTCCATGTATATTGAGATCAAATAAGTTCAATTGTTGATCAATTGCTTTGACCTATCACAGATTGTCGAAATGTGTGAAATAGCTTTAGGACCCCAGTATTGAAACTTGAGCCAGATCTCCCAATGAACCAGTCTCAGCACTAGTTTTGGATATACTTTAAAGAAGTCCTAGTCAGCACTTACTATCTCAAATAGTTGATAATATTTTCCAAAATATTTGAATACATTTATTTGGATAACTCGGATCCTTCGGGTTGGGAACTGTATTAAGTATTTCTTTAAGAAGACGGTTCTCTCTAGACAAAGTATTAATAGGAGGATAATGTCTCAAATATGGTAAAAAACGTGAGTTCTTCAAACCTTAGTTCACAATATCTCGAAAACATAACGTGATTGAACGTGATTCGGATTCCACGCACTTTCATCATTTAGAAAAGTATATTTTAGTCTCTGTTTCAAACATGTTCAAAAACGAGGTTTTTCAAACTTTAGAACAGGATAATTCGAAAACCTGATGTGATTGAATTGATTCCGAAGTCGGATTCAGATTCCGCGCACTTCAATCCTTTAGAAAACTATATTTTGTTCTCTGGGTAAAGACTTTTTCAAATTTTGTTGGCCTGTGTTATCGAACTTTTGCTCTTTGCAAAATAAGACCTATTAGTTCTCCGAATGCCCCCAAGTCCTGAGAATTAGCTGGAAAAAGGGTATAATATATTGGCAGTCAATTAATTTAAAATAACATTTCGACCTTATGAGGTTCGAGGTAAGAGCCTTGAGAAATATAAGACTGTTAGAATTTCAGCCATCAGATAAAGACCGATCTCATCGGAGACAATTTCCAAACCAATACCCTTTATAGTTTTTTAACCATAAGCGTAGACTGAGATTCCGTCGTCCTGAGAGGACAGTGTTAAGCCTAGTCCTCTATTGTTACTGTGTATTCCTATCCGGAAGGTTCTATCAAAGTTCAGTTTAGAAACGGGTCTGTTCATTGAATCAAATGTTTTTTCCGAAAGACCTCATATGGGAGCTATGACCACTTACGGCCCAATCCGATAAAAAAATTCGCAAAACTTATTAAATGAAAACTTATGAAGAAAAAGAAGTTGACATCAATTTTAATACGACTATCGAAGTCAAGGGTCTGTCAGTAGTTCTGCAAAAGTTTATAGAATTTTGGTCTGTTCGACATTTTACCAACTATTTTTTTTAATTTGAACTTAGTTATCACCATATTTTCCCCAAAATACAACATTCGCTCATTTGACTAAATAGCCAAAGAAGCCTTATGATAGCAAAACGATTTTTTTCCAATACTTTTCATAAACTAAATTGGTAAGAATTGCAGCAAACGAAAATCGTTCAGTACAATTTTATCATTTAGCGCGAACTACAAGTATTTGTTGAGATAGAGTTCAGTTCTTAGTAGAAGAGTAACAAATCACAAGTTAATCTAACTAACTAGTAAAAGTATTTCCTTACACAAAAAGCAACAAAAAAAACTATATTCCAAAGTATTTACACATGTTAAAGTGAACATTAAAACAGCTTTGGGCCAAAGTATTTTTCCACAAAGAAAGAAAGGAAAACATATAGACGACAGACATCACAACCAGAACGAAAAAAAAAAACATACGAAAGAATACTAAATACAGCTTTACCTAATTTATTGTAAATACATTTGCAAACTTTTGCATAGATATATACACACATATATGCACACACATCAAACTTACATTTAGAACGTATTTAACCTAATTCTTATTTTATTTTTATTACTTTTACAGCTCCAACTAAACCTACTGAACCCAGGACTTGGAAAAAACAAACACATAACGAATTTATACCATCGTCACACTAAATAGCAAAGAATAACTATGGATTTTACAGAATATCGTCAAAGGGGTAAGTGTTGATTATACTTAATGATGACACATACTGTGCCCAAGACTGTTTTAACCATTCTTGGACATACTACATATTCATTTACATATAAGATTATTGGCTATATGTATGCGTTTGCTGGATATTCTAGTCCAAATCAATTTCGTTTTATTATAAATAAAATGCTACATTTGTTCAAGGCCATAAAAATCTCCACAGTTGTAATATAATTTCAATTAACTTGGTTCTAATCTGTTCAAATTCCATATCCATATCATTTATATACAACTTATTTAAAGCTGAGTAAAAAAAGTTTCTGTATATTTAAGTCCTAAGTTTAAAATAATAAAAGTTTTAAGCCAATTTATTAGCTGAAACTTAACAATAAACATTAAATACCTTGGACTTAGTATAACCTTCAAAAAGGGTCGTGAATGCAATTTAGAAAACTTTTTGAGAGCCTTGAGTGATACAAGGCTGCCTAGAAAGTCTTGAGCCTATGTTCTTTAATGTTTCTATGTTATTTTATATGGAATTGATTGCCTCTTTAGATCTATTTATAATACATCCTTGGATGGATGGAGGATTTTTGAGGAAATATTAGAATTTAGCGCAACTCAATCCTTTAGAAAAGTGTAACCCTAGGTCCCAAATTTATTGGCGTATGTAATTAAGGATACCTTGCCCCCTAAATCATTCAATCATTGCTTGCTTTTATATCTGAACTTCTCTTTCCCAGGCAAAGAAATGGTCGATTATATAGCCGACTATTTGGAAAATATACGTGATCGTAGAGTTTTTCCCGATGTTAAACCGGGTTACATGAAGAATCTCCTACCCGATTCAGCACCACTGGAAGGTGAACAATGGGATGCCATATTCGGAGATGTTGAACGTGTCATTATGCCCGGCATTACCCACTGGCAAAGTCCTCATATGCATGCCTATTTTCCAGCCCTAAATTCATTTCCTTCATTATTGGGTGATATGTTAGCTGATGCTATTAATTGTCTGGGTTTCACCTGGGCCAGTTCACCGGCTTGTACAGAATTGGAAATTATAGTAATGAATTGGTTGGGTAAAATGATTAATCTACCAGATGAATTTCTACATTTGAGTAGTGCAAGTCGTGGTGGTGGTGTAGTGCAAACTACTGCCAGTGAGGCTACATTGGTTTGTCTGTTGGCCGGGAGGACTAGAGCTATTCAGCGTTTTCATGAGAAGAGACCTGGTTATCAGGATGCTGAAATAAATGCTCGTTTGGTGGCCTATTGTTCGGATCAGGCTCATTCGAGTGTTGAAAAGGCGGCTTTAATAGGTGAGTTGTTTTCTTTAGATGAAAATTTTGATTACAGCAAGGTATTATAACTTATTTTTTTTTTATATTAATTCCAAGGCTTGGTCCGTATGCGTTATATCGAGGCTGATGAAAACTTATCTATGCGCGGCCAACTTTTAAGAGAAGCCATTGAAGATGATATACGCCAGGGTCTAGTGCCTTTTTGGGTAAGTATTGGAGAATTTTATAATTAAGAAAATGCCACTTGAAAAAGGGACAAACCATGGATTTAGTATTTATTTTATATAATATTGCTTGCCTATTTAGATCTCTTTAAATTATATTCTTGACATTTTGACTAGCAGTCTTCCGTGGACTAAAAGGAATAGGATTACACTTGAACAACTTTAGGAAATATATTCAATGTTCTGTGTTATCTAAGCTTTTCCTTTTTATTCATTATTAAAATAAATGCTTTCCGATCCACCACCAGTGATGTACGCAAGTTTAAAATTCTCAAGAATCGAAACAGAAAATTGCTGACTTTTTATGGGATAAAATGGATAATATAAACTTCGATAATCTTTGGTTTCTGCAGGACGTACATATGTCGAAGTGCTTTGCGGGAACACCTGCCATGTTGGCCTTATTTTACGGTGGTTTTTCACCCAGGGGTGAGCTTCTTTAAAGGCTCACTAAAGCCCCTTTGTGTATCTTACACGCAGGTGGCAAGTTTTGTACAAGTACTTGGGCTGTTCAATCCCTGACCATTGCTACCTCGTTGGTAAACTTCTGAGATTCAAAAACATCACTTCCGTTTACAACCACGCAGATTAGATGTTCTCTGTTGAGTCGGCAACAGCACTTAGAGATGTATGCGCAACACGAATCTATCAAATAAGCCGAGGACTTTGTATACCCCTACATTCATCCTGTATCCAACGCTTAGCCCCACAGTCTCTTCTCTGTGGGGTATCTGTTGTCTCGGCAACAGCTCTCAACTTATCCCGAATTATAGATTTCATAGTGCATCAGTCTTTTAACCGACATTCTCATCCCGCGATTTTGGGTTTAAACCACAGCCACCTCGTGCACCCCGAAGTGACCTCTCGAATAACCGGTTCCCGTGTTATCAGATGGTTCTCTAATTCGACCCCATGTCAAATCATTGCAAGGAAAGAGGTACTGGTAACACCTCTTTTTCCCCGGGATTGCAATCACACCATGATGGAATCTTCCATTAATGTAACATGCCTCCGGCGGGTTTCTGCAGGAAGGAGGACCTTGTCGCATAGATCATCAATGATTTGTGATCTTAATTCAATAATCAGAGTTCTTGATGTTGTCAATTAGCCACCTTAGATCGGCGTTTTGACCTCTTTACACATTTTTCTTTCCGAATGTCGTTTCAGTAACGATTCGCGAATAATCCAGAAGCGATTCACACAAAAGATACTTGCAATTGAACTAACTACCTTCTTCGGACAAAGTTTTTGTTTCTAATTTTTCAATAAAGGTTTGATATTATTAAAAATTCCACTTGAATTTGATTTAAAATTAAATATTATTTTTTTCCTAAAAAATTACACTTTTCACTAAAAATTCGATTTTTTACTAAAAGTTTAATTCCTCAACAATAATTCGACTTTTCACTATAAATTCGATTTTTCACTACAAATTCGATTTTTAACTAAAAATTTGATTTTTAACTAAAAATTTGATTTTTAACTAAAAATTTGATTTTTAACTAAAAATTCGATTTTTCACTAAAAATTAGATTTTTAACTAAAAAATCGATTTTTCACTAAAAATTCGATTTTTCACTAAAAATTCGATTTTTTCACTAAAAATTCGATTTTTCACTAAAAATTCGATTCTTCAGTAAAAAATTCTATTTTTTAATAAAAATTCGACTTTTAACTAAAAATTTCATCTGTCACTAAAAAGTAGATTTTTCACCACAAATTATATTTTTTACTAAAAATTCGATATTTCTCTAAAAGTTCGTTTTGCTCTAAAATTCCCATTTTTCATAAAAATTGGTTTTTACAAAAATCCAATTGTCTATGAATGAGCAAACAGCCGAATTTTTGATAATGAACTAAAAGTCACCACTAAGCCCATGTGCGCTAAGCAACATATCGTCAATTAGCACAAATCCAATTGGGTCCAAAAGGTCCCTTGTAAATTCCTGTTAGAAAAGTATGAAATAAAGAAAATAAAAGATTAAGAAAGGGATCCATTAAGAGAATAGAGTAGACATTTAAAGGACGAGTAACCGAAATACTATGTCCCCGACTAGTGAGATCATGGAATAAAAACTATTTTGAGAGAATAATATATTCTCCCTCACGTCACACAAAAAGTGATCTATCGTCTCTTCCACATTATAACAACTCCTGCAGAACTCATTATAAAGAAGACCAAAGCGTCTTCCTTAAATTCTAATCCTTACAAAGAATGTCCAATAAATTAATAATAAAAGATATCATATGTCTCTGGGAAATAATAACAAAAAAGCTTTTTGAAATAACACTTAATCCATTGTTACAAAATTGTCTAAATTACCAGCGAAACAAAGTAATTAATACCAAAAAATCCATTGGAACCTAAATGTATGCTTTGTTCAATGTTACAATATATAATTAAGCCAATTTAAAATCTTGAGATGCTGTCAACAGATGCCTCTTACGCAAAAACAAATATTTATAACTTATAAAAAAACAACACACAATTCAGGGGGGAATCACCCAATGTTTGTTAAAAACTCGTGTTATTTGTCAGTATGACAGACTGTGACTACGGCAACAAGTAAAAGCCGATTAGTTTTACGAGTAGACAACCACCAAACTGTTATTAAAAAAACTGTCCCCATCCCCTTGATTTAAAATAACTACAAATTGCCCCACAAGTGTCTTTTTAAGGGAATTAGTTATTGTAAGAATTTATTTTTCTTTTACTTTAGGTTTGTGCTACTTTGGGCACCACTGGTTCCTGTTCTTTCGATAATTTAGAAGAAATTGGCATTGTTTGCCGTGAGTTTAATTTGTGGCTGCATGTTGATGCTGCCTATGCTGGCAGTGCTTTTATATGTCCAGAATTTCGCACGTGGCTTAAGGGTATTGAGCGTGCCGATTCAATTGCTTTTAATCCTTCCAAATGGCTAATGATACATTTTGATGCCACAGCTTTGTGGTAAGTTGATATTTTTACTAAAATATTGTTTATTTTTTACATAAAATAAGCCTAATTAATCTTATTATTTCTTATTGTAGGGTCAAAGACAGTACGGCTGTTCATCGTACTTTCAATGTGGAGCCTTTATATTTGCAACATGAAAATTCGGGTGTTGCTGTTGACTTTATGCATTGGCAGATACCTTTGAGTCGTCGTTTTAGAGCTTTGAAAATTTGGTTTGTTTTACGTTCCTTTGGCATTAAGGGGCTTCAACGTCACATACGTGAGGGAGTACGTTTGGCACAAAAATTCGAGGCTTTAGTATTGGCTGATCATCGTTTTGAAATTCCTGCTAAAAGGCATTTGGGTAAGATAATAACATTCGAAATAACAGGAAATTAATTGACTTCCTTTTGTCCTCTATAGGTCTGGTGGTTTTTCGCATAAAAGGCGAAAATGAAATAACAGAACGTTTGCTTAAACGTCTTAATCATCGAGGCAATTTACATTGTATACCTTCCTCCCTCAAGGGCAAATATGTTATACGTTTTACTGTGACTTCCACTCGTACCTCTGTAGATGATATCTTAAAAGATTGGATGGAAATAAAAAATGCAGCTACCGCCATTTTAGAGGAAATGAATATTACCATATCCAATCGTGTATATTTAAAAGGTTGAATAGATTTTTCAGCAATTAAATAAATTTTATTTAATTTAATTTATATTTTATCAGATACCAAAGAAAAATGTGAGGGTTTCGGCTCTAGCTTATTACTTTCCAATTCACCACTATCGCCCAAAATTGTAAATGGTTCTTTTGCGGCCTTATTTGATGCTGATGAGTTTTTGGCCAAAACTTATGCCGGTATTCGAATTGCAGTAAGTTTTTTATAGAACTTAATTTAAGACAATATAAATATAAAAATCCTTTAACAGCATCAAGAATCCCCTTCAATGCGTCGTCGTGTTCGTGGTATTTTAATGTCGGGTAAACAATTTTCTTTGGATTCTCATATGGATGTGGTTGTACAGACTTCTATGAATTCTCACACCACCAATTCAAGAATGGTCGATTGTTATGGCAAGACTTCAGCAAGTAGTAAGAACGAAGAACGTGATTCTATATGTGAAGATGAAGAAAGTCTGGAAGGTATGAAGCCCAGGTAGTGTAATCGCCAATTTTCACATGTATAGCTAGTTTAATCATGATTTTAGCTTTGTGCAAAACGCGGAGAATTTTTGTAAAAGTTTGGTTATCAAATGGACTTGTCTGAATTCGTCGACCTACTTTGCTAATTGGTAGTGTTGTAGTCTGCCTATCTTGAGGTCAAGGGTTTGATTCGCATCAGAAACTCCGACAAAGGAGAGTACAACAGGTATTTCTTTGGATCTAGTGTAACATACATCCTCGTTACTAACTAACTAACTAACTAACTAACTAACTAACTAACTAACTAACTAACTAACTAACTAACTAACTAACTAACTAACTAACTAACTAACTAACTAACTAACTAACTAACTAACTAACTAACTAACTAACTAACTAACTAACTAACTAACTAACTAACTAACTAACTAACTAACTAACTAACTAACTAACTAACTAACTAACTAACTAACTAACTAACTAACTAACTAACTAACTAACTAACTAACTAACTAACTAACTAACTAACTAACTAACTAACTAACTAACTAACTAACTAACTAACTAACTAACTAACTAACTAACTAACTAACTAACTAACTAACTAACTAACTTACTTACTTACGAACGAAACCGATAGATTGCTTTTTCGTTATAGGGTACCACAATTTCTAAAATTTCCTCAATCAAAAATAGAACACTGAACCCATAAGACAAACTAAACTTGATTTTTCTAATACTAAAAATTACCAATTCCGTATAACTCCCCAAATAATTTGATTCCAAACTTTTATAATAACTCTGCTCTCATACATTTTATGCTTTAAAAGCTTATTAGCTAGCTAGGTTCTCCTAATTCCTATTACATTTTACAGATCCTTTACATTTCTTTTTTCCAGATTGTGAAATGAATTGGTTACTGAACACAACTCTCCAATTAAATCCCAAAAGTTACTTAGCAGTATTAAACAAACATCAAAAACTAACACCAATCGACATCATTCATCACCAGAATAACTTATCATTATTAACAAGATATGCAAAAAGATATGAAGTAAATAACTTCACAAAATCAGTGAATAGTGTTAGAACCCCTTTAACTCAATATCAGCTATATACCCGCCCTAGACGTCCACCACCTTTAAATACCGAACTAAGTAAAGATTTAAGTGAAAAACAAACAGATTTAACAAATCTATATCCTGGGAAACGTTATTTAAATTTGGATTTAACTCCGCACAATGATTCAATATTTACCGATACAATCTTTAACCTGCCGACACCAACGGAAGATCTTATACCCATAATAATAACAGCAGATACACCAACATCCTCTACGAATAGTGTACCAGAAATTGAAGATTTAAATAAACTACATCCACCTAATAGTAGTTTTATAGCAATGTTAGAATCTGATAATGAAGTTGAGGATTTGAAGAAACTTTTACCTTCTACCTCAATATTAATACCAATTGAAGAAATGGCTGAGGAAACAAAAGATATTGAAGAAAGTCTAGTGTCTAATATAAATACTATAACAAAAGAAGATTTGCGCGAAGATAAAGCAGCAAACTCTTCTTCATTTAGCAATTTAATGTATTCTGAAGATAATCAAGATAAAATAGAAGATTTAACTCCTATAAATATGAATCCTTTTTTAATGCAAATATATCCTACTATAGTTAAAGATTCTTCACATGATCAAGAGTTAAAATATCCATCTATAGAAGAAGACTCTTCAGTTTTCAAAGCAACAAATACAGAAAGCAATATGCAACCGCCAATATCTTCAAATAAAGCGGAAGATTTGCAACTTTTCAAGGATATAAATAAAGATGATAATCCTTCATGTTCCAAAGACTTAAGAAATGAAATTATTACAAAACTTCCAAAAGGTTCAACTAAAGACGAAGATTCTTCAGTTTTTGGCCAACTTAGTAATGAAAGCAGTTATGAGCCATCAAAATCCGTTTCTAATTTTGAAGATCCTTTTGATTTGAAAGAATTAAACCGTAAACTCAATATACAGTCTTCAAAATCTTCCAGTATTACAGAAAATTCTTTAGGTTTTAAAGACTTAAACATCAGTTTAAATCAATCGATGGATTTCTTAATTGATTCTGCAAAATCTTCGTTGGTTTTTAAAGATTCTTCAGATTTAGAAGAACTAAATCCGGGAACTTCAAAATCATTGAGTTTTACAGAATGTACTTCAGAATTAAACAAAAATTTAAGACAATCAAAGGATTCGTCGTTTATTGAAGGTATAAATAATGAAGGCAATAATCAACAAGCAAATGATGCTAATCTTAATGAAGATTCTTCACTTTCTAAACAATCAAGTACAGAAAACAGTAATTTATCATCGAATAATAAACCCTCCAACTTTTATAGTGATATAAAGAAAACTTCCATGTCCAACGAAAGCGATAAACAATCTCCAAAATCTTCGGATGTAGTTAAAGATTTAACGGGTTCTAAAGAAACTGGAAACAATATTCAATCCTCAACTTATACAGACGTAATGGAAGATTCATCAGTTTTTAAGGAATTAAGTAATGAAAGCAATATAAAGACTTTAAAAACAACTTTGGTTTTGGAAAGCTACACAGATCTCAAAGAATTACCCAATGAAAGCAATAACCCAAAAGCTAAGTGTTCAACCCAGTCAGATAATTTTCCAAATTTCAAAAACTTTAGTAAAGAATTTGCCCTGGAACCTACAACATCATCTACTTTTGTTGAAAATACTTCAAATTTCAAGGCATTCAATACCAAAAGCTATACAAATGAAGACGTCTCCCTCTTTAAACCCTTAACCAAAGATAATAGTATACAATCTTTAAAATCTTCAAGTCCTTTAGAAGATTTTTCAGATTTTAAAGATTGCGAAAGTTCTAATCAATCTTCAAAATCTTCTTCTGCTTTAGAAGTTGCAACAGTTTTTAAAGAATTAAATAAAGAAAAACATAAACCAACAAAAATATTGAATAGTAAATCTAAAGATGATTCCTCATCGTCAGATGAATTTTTACAATCAGCACGTCAGCCATCGAATTATTCAGAAGATTCATCTAGCGAGTCATCATCTTTGGAATTGATGTGATTGAAAATTCTAAGGATAACGGATAAATTGCAAATATTCGTATCCAGACTGCTGTGCTAGCAATAAAATTAGTGTAAATCAATACTAACCATATAAAAGAATATAATTTAATATTTTAATTATAATAATAACAAAAAACTATTTAACTATTACCCCAAATCAGCTTTGTAACTAAAAATTTTTGTTGTGCTTCTAACAATCATTAAAAATTAATAAATTATAAATTAAAATGCTTGAATATTATAGAAGATAAGTTTTAAAAGTGTGCTGTTATTATGATCATTTTAAAAAGCATTTCAATTACTTATATGTGTGTGTGTACTATATGTATATCAGAAAACTGTACTATTTAATATATTAAACTAATAAATGTATATGTATTAACATTAATTGCAATTTTATTTCCACTACCCTTTAATATTGGAGCTGTTTTTTCTTCTAATCTTACTCAGCCAATCCTTTTTGAAAAAATTTAAAATATTGTTCTAAAACTTTTAAAGCAATTTTACCCGATTTTGCCTAGAAAGAATATTCAGCAAAATGTCGTTCCATTTCCCCATCACATATGACAATAAGATTTTAAAATATACAAATTTATAACTTTTTAAATCAGTGGCAACACTATACATATTGCTCCTTACGACAGGCAATACATTTGAATGTATAATTATTAAAGGTTTTTGTCCAAGATAAACGAGTGTTTCATGTGTTAAAAAAATATATTGCGTACTAACAGCGTGATTCAATAAAATAAGATACAAAATTAAAAAAATCAGTTACCTACTCTATAGTCTAGAATACATCATAGTATAGCCTATAGCATAGTCTAGTCTATAGTCTAGCCTATAGCATAGTCTAGTCTATAGCATAGTGTAGTCTATAGCATAGTCTAGTCTATAGCATAGTCTAGTCTATAGCATAGTCTAGTCTATAGCATAGTCTAGTCTATAGTCCAGTCTATAGTCTAGTCTATAGTCCAGTCTACAGTCTAGTCTATAGTCTAGTCTATAGTCTAGTCTATAGTCTAGTCTATAGTCTAGTCTATAGTCTAGTCTATAGTCTAGTCTATTGTCTAGTCTATAGTCTAGAACTCGAAAGCCGTAGTCTATAGTCTAGTCTACAGTTTAGTCTGTAGTCTAGTCTATAGCCTCTATAGTCTTATCTACAGTCTAGTCTATAGCCCAGTCTATAATTTTGTCTATAGTCCAGTTGATGTTCTGGTCGATAGTCTAATCTTTAGTCTTGTCTATAGTACAGTCCATAGTCTAGTCTGTCGTCCTGACTATAGTCTTGCCTCTAGTATAGTATTTAGTCTTGTCTAGACTATAGCCTAGTCTATAGTCTAGCCTATGGTTTAGTCTATAGTCTAGTTTATAATCTAGTCTATAGTCTTGTGTATGGTCTAGTCCATAGTCTAGTCTATGGTCTTGCCTATTGTACCGTCCATAGTCTAGTCAGACTATAGTCTAGTCTAAAGACTAGTCTATAGACAGACAGATATTTAGATACTGTAGTAGTTTTGCCTGAAGTCTAGTCTAAAGTCTACTTTAGACCAAAAATAATCTATTACAAATTATTCAGTTTCGAAAACTCTGTTCAAAATTTTTGTTTTTGATATTGAAATTTATGAATTTCAAACAAAAGAAAAGTCCAAAAATAAAAAAGTTTTCAAGAAATAAAAAAAAATAAAACAATTTACAAATGCATATATTAGACACCGATTATATAGAACTCGAAAGCCGTAGAAGAGCTCAATTAGCCGCTCTACAATGGCAGACATTAGCCAAATCATCCCGAGTGGAAGTTCGAAAAGCTCATCTTAAATTTGTCTACAGAATCTATTTAATAAGTTTATTATTAATCGTTTTAGTGGCAACACAATGGTGGCTCATAACCGAGATGTATGTTAAGTAATTTTTTTAAGAATTTTAATAAGTTTAATTAAAAAGGACAATTTTTATTTCTAAAGCAAAGCTGTACAGAAATTTGTAATAATCTACAATTATATTATATTGGCTATAGTGTTTGTACATTTTCTAATGTTAACTTTACTGCAATATATGCTAAGAAATAAGAGAAGTAAAAATCTGGTCAATGTTTATATATTTCTAATGGTAAGGAAAGCGAGTTTTTATATTTTTGAAAGAATTGAAAAAGTTTCATTTTCTTTTAGATAGAAATTGGTTCTATAACTCTATCAAGACCCACGGTTGAAGCAGATTTGACAACTTTCTTATATTCATCGCTATTTGCAGTTGTTATGTGGGGCATAAGTTTTATTCTGTCGACTATAGGGCATGTAAGTTGGACTTGAACTTTAATGCTAATTTATTATATTTTCCCTTGTTTTTATTTACTGCAGACAGACACAGATCGTACCTCAGTATATTTATCATTATGGAGTCAAAAATATTATTTAGGCACTGCTACTAGCTTATTAATGACTATGGAATTTACTTTTATTTGGGTACAAATTGGTATATCATTATTTATGGTTTTTTTCATATCGATTGTAAGTATTTGCAGAATGAAGTTTTTTTGATAATTTGAATTTTTTTAAACTATTTCATTTTAAAGTTTTTCATAATCTGGGGACGTTCTCTGGGCTCCCTGAAGTTTTACAAAGAGGAATCAAAATATTGCAACTATTATATTGTTTTAAATTTCTTAAATATGATTTCGTTATTTGCAAATGTTTTAATTTTTATACAAAGAATTGTCGATCAAAATACTGATGATGATATTGGTGATGAGGTTTGAATGCGGATGTATTAATTTATTAATTTTAAGTTAAATCATTTAATACAGACTTTTATTAATTAATGAAATAAACAATTAGTATAATTTTTAAAAGAAAACTTTATATCTTTTTAAAGAAGTTTGTCAACAATGACAATAGTTCGCGCAGATCAAATTTGCCCTTGAAAATTATTGTTATTTTTTCGAATTTTCAAAATTCTAAAATATTTATTTTCTAACATTTTTAATAGATTTTCAGAATATATAACTAGTTTTAAGATATATCGAAAATTCGAACATAAGCTTCGATTTTTTCAGGTGTGAATAGTACCTTGATAAGAACAGAAAATCAGACGGACGGGCGGAAATTTATGAATATGCCCTTGAAAATTAATATTATTTTTTTCGAATTTCCAAATTTCGAACTTAAAAATTTTGAAAATTATTCTGAAATATCTTTTTTATAGAATCCTTAATATATTTTCAGAATATATAATCATTTTTAAGATATATCTCTTTCAGGTGTGACCTTGATAAGAACAGAAAACCAGACAGACGGACATAGTTAAATCGTTTCAGTAGGTGATACGTTCAATCGTTTTTGATTGATCTTGTAAATTTTTTTCTTTTTATTACATTTTTACTATTTATAATTTGTGATGTATATTTTTTCTTTTTATTAAATTTTTAATATTTAAAATTAAACTTACCTTTAATAGACCGCGTTTAAAAGTTGTACTAAAGCTGGGTGCTGCTGAAATAGTTTTCTGTTGAAATTGTTTGTTAATTGATGAATATTAATGATGAACATGATGATGAATTTGTTTAATTTTGTTATGCAGTATACGATGTGGTTTATTTCCATATCTGGATTATGATGATAATGATTTGGTAAGGTGACTGTTATTAAATTTCGGTGTATGATATTATTATGAATTTGTTTTGTAGTTGTGCTAGGTATTTATGTTTGAATTTCAATGTTCACTGAAATCACATTTTAAGCCACAATTTGTCTTAAGTTTATATTTTAAAAAGTTATTTTATGTAAAGTATTTATTGTTTTTTTATTAATATTATAATTTAACACACACTCACATAAGATTTATAAGTTTTGCTTTGTATATGGATAAATATTTATATAAAATTTTCTTTTTTTTTTTCATTTTTCTTTAGTATACAATAACTGTATAAAATTGTTTCAAAATTTTTGTTACTTTCTTGCAGAAAATTGTAAAAAAAGGTGGTTGTTACTTGTTTTATCTGGGAGGGTTTTGTGCAACCTTTAACCATTTAATACTTAAATAGTTTTAATTTAGTTTCAGTTAATATGTTTTTTTTTTAAATTTTGTATATAGTTGTAAGGCTCCAGGTTTTTTTGTTTTCTTAAATTTTGTGTATAAAAATAGTGTATAGCTCTGTATTATATACATTTCTTTCTGTTATTGTTATTTTTATATTCACTTAGTTGGTTTTCAACAGTTTTCTTAATGGGGAGCTTGAGTCACCGGTGGAGCTGGTAAGCTTTCGGAGCTACTGCCGCCGCCAGAAGGCATAAGGGAAACTAGAAATTTAGCAGAAAAATAAGTTAATAAAAAAGTTATTTGAAAAAAAAAACTGTTGACACTCACTTGTTGGTATTGTAGTGAAAGGAAGGAATGTTTTATCTATGTGTTGGTATTTTATTTATATTTGTTTTTTTTAACTTAAGAAAAATAAACGCCTCTCTTCTATATCTTTAAAACTTTAATAAAATAGACTTACTGCAAAAAAAATTTTGAAAATTGAATTGTATTACTCTTATCTAATCTATTACATTATCAAATAAATGTTTAAAAGTTCCTTAAACCGTTTAAGATTAAAAGCTAATAAAGTTGTAGTATTTGCGTTTGACAGATTGTGTGTTTTTTTTGTTATATTTTGATCTTACAGATTTAGTTTAGTTATTAAAAGAGAATGATTTAATGTTAAAAAGAAATTTTGCATTTAATGTTTTAGTAAAGCAAAAGTTTTTGTCTTAATTAAGAGGTTAGTTTATAGATTTAGTAAAAGCATTAAGTTTATAAGTGTCAGTTTAGTAATATTGCTTCAACTGCCTAAAATTTCATAACGAATGGAAACTCTAAAACTTCTGAAATAAAGCATTATTAGTTTAGAAAAAATCAATATGAATTAATTATAAAGTATTAATTTTAAGTTAAATAGTTAAATAGAATACATGTCTAACCAATATCAATCTGCAATTCTTGCTATGATTGCCCTAAGACATGTGTTTTGCTATAAACTGTGTCCATTTCTAAAACAACTTATTATTTTACCGCTTTGTAAACAGTTAAAAGTATTGTTTAGAAACACCTTTGAAAACAAATATTAAAAAAATGAGTTTGTTATTTGTCTCTAGATTAATAAACAAAAAAAAAAAAAAATGCAAATGAATCATTATGGATCAAATATATATTCAGTAAATAAAAGTGATAACGATGTATATTATCAAAGTGTTAAATTGTTAAACATTTTCCTTTCACCACATTTCTTACAGCAACAAAAAAAAAAAATAAAATAAAACAAAAAATATTTTTCTACTACTTACCAATTATGATTATCAAAAGAACAACACCAATAACACCCATTATGATCATCATTTTCATATTGGCCCACCATTGTTTACGTTTCAATTTACCAGCCTGTTGTTCAAATTGTGAGGCACCCTGCTCTAAGGCATCGGCTCTTTCACCCAATTCGGTTAATTTCTGATCACGTTCTAATACTTTTTCAACATTTACACGCATAATGCCGACAACTTCATCGACTTTGGCTTGTGTCTGCTGCAAACGTTTATTGGCTTGATTCTGTTGATTATTATTGCTGGGAAATGATGATGGATTCGAGGCAGATGGTGGTGGTGGTAAAACGGGAAAACTAACATGCAATATTATTCAAAATTTTGGATGGCAATTTAAAGAAACACACAAACATACACGATTAATTTATGTCTGTTTGTTGGTTGGTATGTTTGTGTAGTAGTTTAAATAGTATAAAAGTTAAATCTTTACTTACTCATTATTTCCTGAGGAGCCAGGTGTAACGGGGAAATCATTAGAAGGATCCATTTTTTAGTGTTTTTGTGCTTTTAGCAGATTATTGTGCTTTGTTTTAGAAACTGTAAGAAAAAGTAAATAAAGTTATAATTTAAATAGGATTGTCATATAGAGAAGATGAACCATAGCCTTTATTCTAGTAAATATGTAGATCAGTCTATAGAGAGACTTGTCAAATAGACTAATCTAAATTCAAATCTATAGACTACTTTGAAAACAAATATATAGCCCAGCCTATAATCTAGGTTATATTCTAGTCTACAGCTAAGTCTTTAGTCCAGTCTATAGTGTAATCAATAATCTAGTATGTAGTCTGATCAATAGTGCAGTCTATAGTCTACTGTATAGTCTAATCAGCTGTCTAGTCTAAATTATAGTCTATAGTGCAGTCTATAGTGTAGTGTTGTATATAGTCTAGTCTATAGTCTAATCAATAGTCCAGCCTATAGTCTAGGCTATAGTCTTACCTATAGTGTTGCATAGTCTATATTCTAATCTATAGTGTAGTATATTGTCTAGTCTAGTCTAGAGCCTAGTCTATAGTCTTGTCTATAGACTAGTCTATAGTCTAGTCTATAATGTAGTCTATATTCTAGTCTATAGTCTAGTCTATAGTCTAGTATATAGTTTAGCCTATAGCCTAGTCTATAGTCTAATCTTTAGGCTAGTCTAGGATATAGTCTAGTCTAAAGTCCATTTTATAGTCTAGTCTAAAGGCCATTCTATAGCCTAATCAATAGTCCAGTAAATTATCTAGTCTAGTGTATAGTCCCGCCTATAGTCGAGTCTAGTTAATAGTAAATCGAAAGCGGCATACTGCTTGTTGCTATATTAGGAATTCAGTTTTTCAACACTTAGGTATAGCAAGAGTTTTGAAAAATTAGAAACAATTTTGGTTTTATAAGATCGGATGGCGCTTTCCGGCACCGTTGATGTAAATTATAGAATTAATGAAAAACTAATGTTAATGTAATTTTTATTTAAAATACGTATTATTTTCTTCTAAAATTAATATCCCAATGAACTTTTTGAACTTCTAAATTTAGTTTTAATTGTTAATTGATTACATGTAGTAAAAAAACTTTATAATAAAACTTAAGGTGGGGCAATTTGTAGGCAAAACAAAAACAACAATACAAAACTATAAACAGACATTTTAAATAGTTTTCTTCTTATTTTACAGATTCTCTATAGGTACAATACATTTTTATATTATACGCACTAAATACAAAAACAATAGAACATAACATACATCAATTAATAAAGAAAATATGACGTATTCAAATTTTCTATTAAAGGCCTATAATAATATTCACAATTCTCAGTTCCCTTGTCTTTTGCTTAATGTGTATCTTCTAAACATATGTAGCAATGATTATGCATAGCGTATCTACATATAATATTCAACAAGTGCAAATATTAGTTAAAGGTACTCTGTATAATAATAAAACTGCTAGTAACTATCTCGTTCTTGTTGTTGTGGTCTTTAGTCCAACACAGTAAAATAAATGATTCATTGTATTTTCACCAATTATCAAAAAAATAATTTAACCAACTTTATTGTTTTCATATTTATTAACACTTTCACATTAAAGACACCATACAACATTTTAAATTTACCTTAGGTGGGTTTTATGGTTTGTTTTTATGCTTTTCTTATAAGAAAATAAACGAAAAAAATTGAACAAAAAAGATTTTTAGAAAAACGTAAAAAAATGCACGAATTATTTTTTTCTTCACAATGACGGGACTGCAATAATGGTGGCTCCGTGTGATGACCAGACAACTGCGTCGGTTTGGCTTAACGCCGTTTAAATCTAACCGCCGAAGAAATTTCATAGCCGCCGTCTAAAATTTTTCAATTTGAGACTGCTTGAAATATTTCTTATTATATTCCTTAATTTTCTGAACACTTTCACTAAATTGTTTTTATTTATTTGTGTTCCAATCAAAACCAAGCCTTTGGGTCCAAATATGGCCCTAAAGTCATTTAAATATGTAGTTTAAAATGTGAAAAAATAATACAAATTAAAGTATGAAACGAATGTAGCGATAACATAAAGAATAAAATTAAGGATGGATAAATTAATGGAATTTTACAACATAAAATTCATTTATTCTAATTTAATCAATAAGTCTAAAATTTGTATGAAATTTTTGCGCCATTTTAAAAAAGTATTGACACTGCCGACGCTTTCAATAAATCTTGTTTGACGTCGTTGCAGCGAATAGAGTATTAGATGGGAGTAGTTGCAAAAAAGTTTAGTAGCACACTATGGCAGTAGTTGATGAAGAGAGTTTGTAAAATTTGTAAAAAATAAAGTATGAGAAGGATAATATAATATGAATTTTTATTTAAATTACTTTTAGATTTTATTTACAAAATATATAATAGTGACTCTGTGTGACGACATATGGCGTTTACAGCGGGCGTTGCCAGATGTTGACATAAGTAGTAATGGAAAACAACTCTGTTGGTGGTGTTTTTCACGATCTCACCTGTTGAATGGTAAATAATTTTGTACTACTTGTGGAATGTGGAACAGATATGCAAGCCGACTCGGTTCAAAAAGGCAGTGGCTGGTCGCGGCCAAGTTTAGGAAATCAACGCCGTTACTGACTGAAAAACACACCATAAATTTTCTAAAAAAAATTTGAACTGAACTGCAAACAAATTGAAACGAGTTGCCACATCATATTATGTTCATGTAAGTGGTAGATAGATAGATAGATATAGATAGATAGATAAGATAGATAGATAGATAGATAGATAGATAGATAGATAGATAGATAGATAGATAGATAGATAGATAGATAGATAGATAGATAGATAGATAGATAGATAGATTGATAGATAGGTTGATAGATAGATAGATAGATAGATAGATAGATAGATAGATAGATAGATAGATAGATAGATAGATAGATAGATAGATAGATAGATAGATAGATAGATAGATAGATAGATAGATAGATAGATAGATAGATAGAGATAGATAGATAGATAGATAGATAGATAGATAGATAGATAGATAGATAGATAGATAGATAGATAGATAGATAGATAGATAGATAGATAGATAGATAGATAGATAGATAGATTGATAGATAGGTTGATAGATAGATAGATAGATAGATAGATAGATAGATAGTAGATAGATAGATAGATAGATAGATAGATAGATAGATAGATAGATAGATAGATATAGATAGATAGATAGATAGATAGATAGATAGATAGATAGATAGATAGATAGATAGATAGATAGATAGATAGATAGATAGATAGATAGATAGATAGATAGATAGATAGATAGATAGATAGATAGATAGATAGATAGATAGATAGATAGATAGATAGATAGATAGATAGATAGATAGATAGATAGATAGATAGATAGATAGATAGATAGATAGATAGATAGATAGATAGATAGATAGATAGATAGATAGATAGATAGATAGAGAGAGAGATAGATAGATAGATAGATAGATAGATAGATAGATAGATAGATAGTAGATAGATAGAGATAGATAGATAGATAGATAGATAGATAGATAGATAGATAGATAGATAGATAGATAGAGATAGATAGATAGATAGATAGATAGATAGATAGATAGATAGATAGATAGATAGATAGATAGATAGATAGATAGATAGATAGATAGATAGATAGATAGATAGAGATAGATAGATAGATAGATAGATAGATAGATATATAGATAGATTGATTGATTGATTAATAAAAATCAAATGATCACAGATAAAAGTGTTTTTCTGGAATTTTTCTTTTTCGAAAATTAAAGTGATCATAGATAAAGGATCTTTAGATAATTGGACTTCCATTTTGTAAACGGCAGCCAATTAAAGGGCTTGCAGTTTCTATAAAATTATTTTTTAAATCGATTTTTATTGGAAAATTTAAATGATCACAGATAAAAGTCGGTTTCACATTTTTTATACAAATTATTATTAGGTCACGGACTTTATTTCAGATTTTACTTTAATCTAAAAATCAATTCTTTAGTTGAATATAAGGTTCGAAAATCAGCCATAAATTTTCTTTGATGGAAAATATCGATGAGCACAGAGTTTTGCTCCTTTATTAAGAATTTTAGATTTAAAAAATATTCATTTTTGATGGAAAATATACATAGGTGATCACAGATTTTGTTTTTTTTTTCTCATTTAAAGCATTATTTAAGAAACTACAGTTAATATTAGGTTTTACATAAAAATCAAGAAAATTTCTTTATTATTTACATACGAAATTTTCAACTCAACTACAAATTGTGTTTTCTTCTTTTCTTAATAACTACTACTTCGCAAAAAGAAGCATTTTTTGTATTATTTAAATATTAATACCATAAATGAAATGAAATTAAAATAAAAATTTAACTTATTATATGTACAATGACCTTTTAAAGAGTTCAGTCATTGTTGTTACCATGATCATGACTAGAACAAAGAATACAATGAAAAATTGATACAATTAAAATCTTGATTCATTATCCACACCTGATGGTTCGGTAGTTTGTTTTCTTTAAGAACTTTGAGTACAAGTTGGATTTTCAAATTCAATGGCAAAAAAAAAGATGATCGTTATTTGTGTGAGAGGCGTTTTGTAAATGAAATTTGTTTACAAATGTTTGTAAAAGTGATGAGCAAGTGACATGGATGGGATTTTTTTTTTGAGGTTAAAATTCGAATATGATTATTTCAAGGAAGTTTATTTAAAAGAACAGAGAGTTAAATTGATCGTATTGAAAATAAAGTTTTTATTTGAATGATTGTTTAGTTCAATAAAAATAATTAATTTTTTAAAAAAAAGATCGCATAATTCCATATATCAATTACACAAAAATGTAAATTACTTTTTGACATTTAATCCATAAAATTAGACACCTGTTCATCTCTTTCTTGACAACTTCAATAATTTCTTTTTGTTAGTATTTTCGTATTCTATTCATTAGTAAAATAAAGCTAAAATCATTGTAACAATTTTCCACCAAACTTCAGCAAACCGTAAAGATTATGTCACCGAAAACAAACTAACAAATAAATGTCAAACAAAGACCAGTAAATAAAAATCTTTATTTTTTTCACGGTCACGGTCAAATATTTCTAACAACTTTCAAAGGAATCAAAACAAACAGAAAAATGAACCTACAAATAAATTATAACAATTATTCACTCTACTACACACCCACCTTATGGCTAAAGATTAAAATAATCTTCACCTAAAGAAGACAGACACTCCTTCAATGATCCTCAGCTTTTCTTTGGAAGTTCTCTTATGCAAGGTTTATATAAAAATTTCAAATAATTACCTAAAACTTAAAATTCTCCCTAAATTTTGTTTAAAATTATTACGTTTAGAACTCATGGCGATGATGATGGGTTTTCCACCAAAACAAAGCTTCGGTTTCTCATCAGTGCGTGTTATTTTTAATGTTTTTTTTTTTTAGATTTTAACATGTATCGCGCTTCTTCTCTTCTCCATTTTACTTTTTTTGAAGTTTTAACGTAATTTTGTGGCTTTTACATAAATATGGTTGACAGGTCACAGTTTAGAGCCATTCTAGTTTTGGTTTTTAAACAAAGTGGTTGTTAAATTTATTCTTGAATGTTATTTGTTTAAAAAAAGAACAAATGAAACTGTATCGGAAGGATTAAATAAAAAAGAAAAATAAACAATAAATTTCAAAATAAAAACAGTTGCTCGTTTAAAGGGCAATATAATTATTAACTAACACATTATATATATTTTAAAAAGTGTTTTTATTAATAGTGAATTATAAATTAATAAATTAAAACATGACAAACTTAAAAAAGGTAAGCTTTTGTGCAAAAAAAGTAATACATTTTTCACAAAATTAAAAAATTTAATTGCTTTAATAGTCCTGCCAAATGACAGCTGCCTGGCTAAATAGTAAATACCATCAAATTATATAAAGTAATAAATAAAAAATCGTTTAAATAAAACAAAATAAATTCGATTTTAAAAATTTGTAACTTGAATAACTCATAAGAAAATTTATCTAGCAAGGATATTAATAAATTATTAAAAATTTCTTCATATTAGAAATATTTTCATGAATTAAACAGTCAAAACTTTTGCCAAACATATGATTTAGTTACAGCAATCAATGTTTATGGTTCTGGTTACCATATTTTCATTTTAATACAGAAATCAAATCTTCACATAAAGCTTTTTGAATTCGTAATGATCAATTCTACACTAGTACTTTACAGATTTTAATCGTAATGATCAATTTTATTCTCGTACTGTAAGATTTTTCCATTATTTTTAACTAAAGAAATAAGTTTTTGTAATTAACAATTAGTTTGCTTCAGTATCGGAAGAAAGTATTTTATTAATTTATCATAGTTTAATATTAAACTAGTTACTCGGATGCAATTTAGTTTGTCGTTTAAGACTAACTTTGATTTGTTAAACCAATGAAACGGAAAATGCTTTAAAGAATCTATTTTTATACGTTTCTCTAATGTGAAAGTTTCAGAGAACTTTTACATCTATGGCTGTACTTAGACTAGTCTAGTCTGTAGTCCAGACTATAACCAGGCAATTGTCTAGTCTGTATTTCAGACAACAGTCTAGTCTGTAGTCCAGACTACAGTTTAGTCTATAGTCCAGATTACAGTCTAGTCTATAGACCAGACTACAGCTCAGTCTATAGACCTGACTACAGTATAGTCTATAGACCAGAATACAGTCTAGTCTATAGATCTCACTATAGTCTAGTCTATAGACCTGACTACAGTCTAGTTTATAGACCACACTACAGTC